AGGAAAAGTCTCAGCCACACAGAACTTGTATGTACACACACAAAAACCTGTTTTCCTGATATTTTATTCCACTCCACCAAATTAAGAAGGTCAGATAAGCATGTGAAATTTCTCATACTTATCTGATCGAGGTCTCCAAACCACTGCCACCTATCACTAATTCTGTCATCAATTTGATTCAAATAAAGCACCAACTGATTTTGGTCTATTGTTTTTTAGAGGCTTATCAAAATTATTTCTTGATTGCAAAACAGGTATACTTCGTAGCTGGTAAACATTACAGAGTGCTGATTTATGGGTTCATTGGTATCTGAAAACATGGCACAATGGTTTTTCTTACAAACTGCAAACTTTCAGAGCTCAACTATTATTGATTAACTACTATTGCATTCTTTTGTAAATGAGAAAGAGATCAAGCAATTAGTTCAGCTGGCTATGCTTAAATCTACTAAACCAAGCACAAGCATTGCAGCTGGTCCACACCTGCCATACAGAAATAGTTTTGGGCAAATGTATAATCTTCTGACAAATATACCCCTTTTAGCTTCTATCTATAGATACAGCTGAAAAAGTTTGTTTCAGTTACTCTCTTAGAGGCCATAAAACCTTGTTTCACCTGAACTACTAAATCCCTTCACTGCTCTTCCCAGGTCCTTCTTTTACTCATTCCATATAATAACAAGGCTTAGTATTACAGAAAGGAAAAAAAAAAAAAAAAGAACGAACCACACACACTCTTTCCAAGTGACTCTTCACTACCAAACTCTTCTAAGGCATCATCTGACTAGAGAAATGTATACTTGTGAAGAAAACAAAAAAATTAACCTTAAAAGGATAGTCTAGATCTCTATTCCCACATTCAACACACAGGCGCTTGCAATAAACAGGCTTTCTTAAGGAAAGACATTGCATCACTTTCCAACTGCAGTGCAATCAATCATTTGAAACATTTGTTTTGTTTCATCAGATGCTCCTCTGTCTCAAGGGTCAAGAACATACTGCTTACTTTCTCCAGTCCCATATCTAGCATATATCCCAGCAGTAGGGGAAGGAGACAGTGTAAAACTATACTTTCTCATCCATGTACGAGTCTTACCACAGTGTCCTGATTTCTCTGATAACATATTTCTGCATGCACACTGCTAAATGTTTGACAAGAATAAACAAAGGCTACAATTTGGACATACCTGTCATGACTATTTCTACATGTTAATGCATTCTGTTAAATATTCCTACGGGATTGCCAGTGAAAACACTAATGAAACATCCAGAGTGAGCATCACTAGTCATGTCTCACAGTGATGGCAAGTGAAAATGCAGGACAGCACACACTGGCCTCTTACAAACCTTTCTCTCTGCTCCTCTGCCTTCCCTGAGCCTTTACAGGAGGATTTCTGTACTTTTGCATCAGCTGATAAAAACAACTTTTAATCATCTGTGTTGGCATACGCAGGCATGTAACAGTACGTTTTGAGCCTTGTGTCTTTGGCAACACATCCTAAAATTTAGCAACAGCCAAGGCTTTGATTCATAAATCATAAGATCACAAATGACCACATAGTTCTTTTCATCCTTTAGTCCAATATCTCATCTAATCTGCACATAAAACACTCTAAAGAACACGTCTTACCCACTTCCCTTAGCAAAACAGACAATGGCCAACTACCAAGACTGTTTAAAATATTTCTGCTGCCTACCCTAACATTTTCTGCCCTTAGTTTTGGGACTGTCAGCACCTCAATAGCCCAGAAACTTTGTAATTTGAGGAGAAACACAGAGTAAATATAAATGAAGAATAATAAGTATATAGAGAAGTTGGAGGCTTTTTTCCCCCCTCAAACTAAATACTTCAGGCTGAATTAAGTGATTCTGTAAAACAAATTTTGCATAGAGCAAAAAGACAGTTTTTATGCATATATAATGTTAACTTTTTCAGCACGTAGTTTACTAGTGGGAAGAATTTCCTAATATAACAGAACAACACACATTTTTTCCCAAGGAGAACAAGCGCATGCACTATTTTTGAGTTGTGTAAAGAATACCAGAGCAGAGAAACGGTTCAAAGAAAAAAATCTTTTTTTGGCAGAGAACTGACCAGACAGTCTAGTAAGCTAAATCCACTGATCACCTTAAGGATTCTCCAACTATAGGTGCATGGCTGGGCCTTGCCTATAGCATTTACATGACTCCTCCAATTATCATCCTGAACTACTGTACTACAGTCAATGTTCACTACAATCATAAACAACTGTGAAAAAAAATACAGGAAGAACCTTGACAAATTCATAGCCCACAACTGCATATGGTGCGAACTGATGGAGCTTTTGCAATACAAATAGTGCCCCAAATCAGTTCTCCACACAGAGAAAGTTTCCAATGATAAGGGACACATGTAAGGCACGTTCTTTTAAAAACCTGACTCCCATTAAGCAGCTCATTGTTCATAAAGGGAATGGTGTTTACACAGGAAAAACTCCAGTTTCAACAAATTTGAGTTCCAACAGATGTTTCCTTCTATCTAATCAAAACAAGTTTGTGACCTGTTCCTGCCCAATCAAAAAGCTTCAAAATTAATTCCACAGAAAAACAAAAACAAAACAAAAAAAAAAAAAAAAAAAAAAAAAAAACAAAACAAGAAAACTGTACTTGACAGAATGACCTTGAAAAACAAATTCAGAAAAATTTTTATTTCAAAATTGCAGCTGCTACTAAAGTGAACTAACTTGAAAAATTCAGTCTTCTTTAAAGAGAATGTTTTATGATCTGGGTTTGAAAGGATGCAACATGATAATTATAATTTTGGCTTGTGCTGAGAAGAGTAAGTAGGGCAGGTTATTACTCACATGGCTCTGTGTTGCAATTGCTCTCCTCAAATCAACTTAACCTTTCTTCTCCAGACCTCCCCCAACATCCCTCCAAAATGCCTGGCTGCTCTTGGCTTCCTCAAATCTCTTAAGATCTCTCTTACTCTGCACACAGTAGTTAAATAATAGAAGTGGCTGAGCAGAGTACAAAAGGTGTATCTCTTTATTTTATTTTTAATTACTATTACCAGTACATACTAATCATACAGCAAGCACTTTGTAGAAGTGTAGAAGATAAAGAATTTCAGTCTTTGCCAAAGTCCTGCTGTCAAGACTGTACTGTTACACACCTGACTATTTCACTTACCATCACAAGAAAGTTTCAGGACTTTCAGGATGTACCCAATGGTATTATACCACAAAGCTAGACCTGGTGACATTCTGTTGCACAACTGAATACTGCAAAGGCAGCATCTTCCAGGTGCATTTTCTGTACCCAGCAATACCTTGCTCCAGAAGATAAACTGAGATGGACCATGTGTTGCTGATAATTTTATCCAGGTTTTTTATAGCTTTTATAAAAGGCAGCTGCAGAGGCCCAACAAATTAGATTAACAGCTTGATACAAGTGTCAAAGCCAAAGCTAAAATATTCTTAATCGTGAGTATGACAAGTGTAGTCAGTGCATGCAACCTTCTGTGCCTATCTTTGCCTCTGCAAGTTCTCTCTTCACTAGATTTCACTCCAGTTATTTCTTGTCCTAGCTATTTTGTCAGCCTTATACAAAGTTCCCACCTCCATAATGTTTTATGTGCAGCACACTCAGCACTGAGGTTCCTTACCCCAGCCGAGGCCTCTGCACATCCTAAAATGAATGTAACAACAAGAAAGGGCTGTAATCTGGCAGCAATGTAACGCACCATTATTACAACCAACATAAATATTAGCAGTGAAGGAGAACCCACTGAGACACATTTCAAATCTCCCTATCAAACAATTATAGCAGAAGGTAGAGGTGTTTTTTTCCCTCCCCCAGTAATCCTATTTGTCCTTTAAATAGATCTTAAGTATAATCTCAAAGTGTCAGCATTTTTGTAAAGAAATACCAGCTCAGACCTAATTGGATTTGTCAGACAATCACAGCTGAACAGTTCTGGGTGCTCCAACAGCTGAACAGCTAGAGAAAAAAATCCTCCACATTGTAATGTGTAAGAAAATGAAAGTTCATTTCAAGAGGAAAAATTTTCTCTGACAGTAAGTGATAAAAAGACATCATTTGTTCCACAGTTCAAACCCTGTCCCTTAGCAACATAATGATGTGGTGTGGGTTAGCTAAGGTTGTGTGGGCTGCTCCATATAGACAATTATCTGCAGTTAACTATTCAAACATTGTTACTTCAGGATGCTCTGAATTCACCATGACTGCTAAAGGTTTGCCTATACAAACTTGCTCTTGTTTTAAACTTTTTAACCGCAAATAAGAAAACAAGAGAAAAAACCCCAGAGAATTCTGACAGGAACACCTAACAGCAGCACTTGAAAAGAAAACAAGTATATATTATGTCCCATGCAGACAAAAAAACTAAGGGAATATGTTTTTCAGCTGAAGAGCTCAAATCCTTCCTATTCCTCTGGACTTTTTGACTTTTTTCCTCACCAACATATATATGTACACATGAAACTTGCTCCGCCCTTGCTGTGTGTATCATAGACTTCTTGTTCTGTACATGCTTCTGTGGGCTAGAATAGTGCATTTTAAAGACAATCTAGGATATAATGGCCTAAAACCCACAAAAACCTCATCCTCTGAGTGACAAGAGAAAATACATAGGTTAAGGAATTGCAATATGCCAAATCTTACAACACCTTTCAAATTGTGATTTATTTAATGAAGATTGAGATTTTTTCATAAGTATTCTGATCCAGAACTGAGGTGATGTTCATTTTACTGACTTTAAAATAATAGTCACAGAGGTTTTTAACATGTATATTTAGGAGAATATCAACTTGAGCACTCAGCATCATCCCTTTCTGTATTTGCACAGCTGGGAACCAGAATGCCTGTGACTGAGGAATATAAGCAAACTTTGCACTAAATTCTGAACTGTGTTTTGATCTGAAGCAAAAGCAATTTGAGATAATGTAACGAGTCTATCACCATCAACATGAACACTCAGGAGTTATATGCTCTCCTACCTGTTGGCTTATCTACACCAAGGAATCCAGCCTGTCCCAGGGTTTTAAATACTTTATGCGCTGGGAACTGTCCTTCTTCTTCCCACTTGTCCACAAAGGGATTAATCTCCTTGTCGATGATCTAGATTTGAAAAATAAATTTAAAAAAAGTTATTAACACAGACATTCCTACAGAAACACTTTTGACTACATTTGTCTAAAAAACTTAATTTAAAAAAACAGTAAAGGGAAAATTTTGAAAGCACATTCATTTTCTTACTTCCTGTTGGATGTCCTTATTCTCCACCCACCCACAACTATTACAACAGATGCAATAAGGCAAATATAAATAATTCTTTTAGCAATTATAACCATTACAACAGGAAGTCATCAGGGCTGGTTTAATCCTCTCCAAGACCTATGAAAGTGGCAGTTCCCCCTCACCATTTGTTACCTTTCTGGGTACAGTTTCTAGAAAGTGACAGGAAGGGAAATCCAGATTGTCCTCGGAGGGACCTTACCAAAGAAGGGTGATGATCTGTTCATGACGACCACACACAAGACAGGCAAGCAGGAGACACCTCATTTCCCCTCCCTTTGCCAGAACTACTCTCAAGGACATCAGTGCTGTTCAGGGCACTTGTGTCCAGTCTGCATTTAGGCTTCCCTAGGATCTGACAAAACATGTACTGGAAAAACATGGTCTTCTTCCAGATTTACAGCGTGTCCAAGTCTAGCCCCTGGGCAACTCTCAACTGGGCTATCGCTGCCCACCTTCCAAAAGTCAATGCCCTAAGCTGCCTGGCTACTCCCCTTGCTCTATTCAGGTGGCTGCCTTTCCTTCCAGGTGTTGCAGGCAAAACACATCTGAACAACAGCCACTACATTCAGTAACACTTTCAGGTTTCAGAGCACAAGTGTTGTACATCCCACCCCACAAAGTCCCAGATTTCCATGGCACGGGAAGGGGACAAAATGGGCAACCTGTAGTTTTGCAGCCAACCTCTAAGCCTGGGAGTAACTCCTGAACAGAGTCGGCTCTGTGCCAAACAGCCCCACGCCGCAGGGTGCCACCTCGCTCCTGCCGCCTACCAACCTGGCACGAGGCAGAAGCAGTTTCAGTAGCTCTCAGGAATCAGACGTATAGTGCCCATCTCTGCCCACCTCCACAAGCAAAACCAGGGGTCGGCACAGCCTGCTTCTGCCCTGCCACCAACTATGCCACGCACCCGGGTCAGTGGGCACAAGGGGGTCCAAATGTGAAACAAAAAGCCACCATCCTTCCCTCAAACCAAATCTTAACAAAACAAACACCAATTCCCAATAGAAAAGCAGTGCCTTTAATCTTTTACCAGAATTTCACTGTTACGGTGTTCCATGAAGAGAGAATTTATTGTTTTAAGAACTTACTCCTCTTAGTCTTTCCTCCACACTAAATAAACAAGTCCTGTGGTGCTATTTCTTGAGCTGGAAATAGACTCCTCTCACTCTGAAACTGCTGTGCTCATGAGACCCTGCGGAGCCTTCTTCTGAACTATCTATTTATTGCACATTCTTCAGAGAATTTCAGCCCATATATGGCTGCTTTCTGCTTCCCAGTTGCCCACAGAAATAAGGATACTTCACAGTTGGTAACAGAAAAATCACCTTCTCGCTTCTCTCACCAAATTCCGAGAAATGTATATAGTAAGTGTTCAACTCATTCAGCAACTATCATCTCTCTCCCTCTCTTACACTGAACAACATTGGCCTCATGATCAATAGTAACAAAATACTCACCAGGACAATATCTAGCACAGCCCACATTTAGTTTCTCTATTGCCACACCCTAGATGATCAGATTCTAGGGCACTGACCCTCACTGTTCAGTTACAGGTAGTGAAACACCTTTTTGATTGATTGTAATAACATCTGGTAACGCTCAGATAACCTCTTTCAGGCATTTCCCTAGATGTTATGAAGTATGTACAGAAAGTTATCCCAGTGTTTTGATGGATCTTGGCAAAAGTATCAAGTGAATGTACCAAGAGAGTTTTGTGCTTGTTATGGCTGGTACTGGGCCAAGTGTTTCAGTGTACATACAAAGCTACCTTTAAACTTAAATATAGTCAGAAGAATGACTAAGGCATGAGAGAAATTATTTTACAATATTTCTGCAGATTACAATCTGCTTGCTCTTACACCTTTGAGTAAAACTCAAATTGTTTAACAGAGCTGAAGTTTAATTATTACCAGATAAAGTTTGCCATGTTGAGTAAAACAAGATCTTCCTTGCATGACAGAACAAAATAAACAAAGACAACTTCACTGCACAAACCACAAACAGTGCATACCTCTAAGTTTAAGAAAAAAAATTAGTGTCGCAGTGCAGATACTGATACCCACAGTTTTTTTCTTAGCCACTGGACCACCCTCCTTATTCTGTGTTTTTAGAAAGAAATTAAGTAGGCCATGTCAAAAGTTTTTACGCTTCAGAAGCAAACTGTGTGCAAAAAAAACATGCTATTTACAGACATAAGGGGACTTGGGGGAGCACTTCCCCTTGTACTACCACATACAAACATAAGGCACATTGCTGGAGAACTGTAGTGCTGGTCAACTGGCTGGTGCTTCAGTACTGATTATTGAATATCATCATTCCTTCATATTAAAAGCAAACTGAAACAGAGAGGTATTTTCAAAAGGTCAAGCCAGCAATGACTGAAGCAACACAACCAATGACACAACATGTGCTTAAAACACTGCTAAAGAGAGATTTGTTTCAGTGCAGGTCAAATAATGCCGCATACCTAACCATTTGATATGCCCCTTCCCTTGGCTTTGGTGACTTCCTCACATCTATGCCCCCAGAGAAATATTTCATGCTTGAATTACTTTAAATCTTGACTAATTAACTTGGGATTTATTTATATTTTTTTGAATGCACACAACTTTTAGAATCAAACACTAAGAGCTGCAGGCACCTCAACCTAAATCATAAGGTATATATGCAGTGTTTGGCAAATATACAGAAGTGATCTTTCAGCAGTTGGTCTGCTTATTTTTATATGCTTTATCATCAGAAATGTGGAAAACATCAGTGACAGCATTTAGGCTTGCATCACTAGGATACTGACTATAACAAGACCTAAAACTCCTCTCGCCAGAAATATTTTAACACTGCAAACATGCTATCTGATAGCTATTCCCAGCCACAAAGGAAATCTTTTCACCTGATCTAGCTTAACAAATCTCAATGGCATTTGTGATGTAAAGTTGATTTAGGAGCTCTATATCTTTCCCACTTGCTGATAAAGTGCCAGTAAACCACAACGGAAACTCTGTTATTTTCCTGACAGTGAGGGCACAGTTAAGTATCGTGTATGGAATCAGTGTTTTTCTCAGGCTGCTTCATTCGAACCATGAAGATGCAAACACAAAGGACTGAGTTCTGGAGGCAGCCTTGGTTTAGCCTGCATCCCAGCAGAAGCTCAGGCTGCTCTCCAGGGAGCCTCTAACAGAATGGCTTCAGGGCTGATACCAGCCGTGAACTATTTCAAAAAACACTGTGGATATTTGCCCAGTTGGAAACTGATCAAGCCAGCAAACTCACTTCATGTTGGTAAGAAAAATAGAAGTGGTTTTATTTAAAATAGTCTTGACAGAGTTTTGTGAAAACAGCACCTGTAGCTTCCTGCCCAGGAACAGGGAAACGCAGTAGCAGGGTTGGGGAGGGGATAGAGACAGAAATTCAGAGGGGGTTTTTTGTGGTAGATTATTCTAATTTCTCTCTAAAACACAGCAATGAAAATATCTTCCCATAATGTTGCCAGGTAGTTGCACATTTTGATTATTTTCCACTGGAAGTTAGTACACTATTTAAATATTAGTTAGTACACTATTTAAAGAGCACGTTTGAGGATTTTCCTCCATGTGATGTTCAGTATTTTGTGCTGATATCATACTGGCACCTACCCAGAAGCATTAGCAATTGCCACTTAATTCTCACTGTGTTCTAAAATAAATACACTATTTCTACAACAGTAAAAACTGTAATTGAATTAATTTGGGTACTGAGAGTATGTACAGATGTCCTTTACAGCAATTAAAGCTTTCTTTCCATTATTCACTAGCAGGTTTACATTCTATCAAGCAATTCAAACCAGAAATTAATGGCCATACCATTTCTACACATAATACCTCTTACATCTTTCCCTTATAATACTGTACAGTGGTAGCATATTTCAGGACACAATTAGCAAGATGATGAATCTTGAAAAGAAAACAATAAACTGAATTCTTACAAAATGACAGAATTTTTTACTAATGCTTCCTGTGAATTATATCTAAAGTGAGATTAGACTTACTAGAAAAGCAAGGCAAAATGTCTGAGAAACAGGTATTTTGTGTGAAGAAGATTAAATGGATTTAGTGGTGCCACATAACTGTAACATAGAATGTTGAGAAACATTTTTTTCCTTTAAATCAAGTTACAGTAATTGAACTTAGCTCTATTAATATAATCAGATGACACAATTAATGGGATCTGTAATGTAACAAAAAAAGCAAATAAATAAGCAACAAACAACTAATGAAAGTTCTGCAGGGATTACATCTAGACATTAGCATAACACTGACTTGAAAGGAAAGAGGTAACAGACCAGAGAGCCCTTTGCCTTTGACACCAGCAATAACTAAATAAAATAATCAACAGCCCACAAAAACAACATTTCTCCTTGCAGTTTTATTCACAACCACCGACAGCAATGACTGCATGGTGAGACAACTCGGCATCATAGGGACACCAGTGCTGAGAACAAGGCAGCATTTTAGCAAGACGTAAGGCAGAGTTGAGGTGGTCAAACCCCATGGGTCACCTATATATGCTATGAAACCTGGCTGCCAAAACCCACCCCATGGGTACATGGCAGCCAGGACCCCACCGGCAAGGTCCTTGCCGGTTGTGGTGCTGAAGCCTGTACAGGGCCTCTCAGCTGCTCCTCAGGAGGGCTTTATATATCCAAACAGGAGCTGTGTTTTTCCCACACACTGGTTTCTGTTTGGGTCCGCCCAAGGCATGCAGTCCAAGCACACCAGAATTAGCTTTCCAACATAAATTCCCCGTTTCTTCTTGCTCCTGGGCTTGAAGGTTGTGGCCCTCTT